AGGATTTTATCCTACTTAATTCCTCTCCAAAAAATTAAACCAGGCTGGGTGCAGTGGATCATGCCTGTAATCCCAGCACTTTGGGAGGCCAAGGCAGGAGGATCGCTCATAGGCCAGGAGTTCAAGACCAACCTGGGCAACATGATGAAACCCCGTCTTTGAAAAAAGTACAAAAAATTAGCTGGGTATGGTGGCACACACCTGTAATCTCAGCTACTCGGGAGCCTGAGGTGGGAGGATTCCTAGAGCCCGGGAGGTTGAGGCTGCAGAGAGCCGTGATCGTGCCCCTGCACTCCAGCATGGATGACAGAGCAAGACCCTGTCTCTTAACAACAACAACAACAACAAACAAACAACAAACAAACAACAAACAAACAGAAAAACCACGAAGCTGTTTGACTCTGTCATATAAGGAATCCTTTGGATAAGAAGATGGCTGTGATAGTGGAGTTCATTTCTACCCTTTTTGCCCAAAAAAACAAGCAGATTTTCTCTATTCTCTTCATTTCTATCATGAAGTCTCTTCAATTCATTGGAAAGGCAAGCCAGGAGTCCCTATGGCTTCCAACCTGTGCCCCTGTGACCCTGCACACTTCTGGAACACAGAGGTGCCTTCCGCAGACGCAAACGTGAGCCTCCATTTTACACTGCGGAGCCTGCAAGGAAGGATCAGCCGAAAGCCGAGGTCCTGTGACAGAAACTGTGCAATAGCAGCAAAAGAATACTTAAAGCGTGGGGCAACTGTGGTGCAAAACATGTGAGTTATCTAAACATGCCGTGGCAAGCCAGCGGCAGCCACCGTTCACCACGGGATGTGCGGCAGCACCAAGCCTCTCTCCAGAAGCATCGTGTTTTTCCTAGCAATGGGTCTTCCTTTTCAGATTTTGGGCTTGGCCTGTGGACACCATGCAGGCAGGACTGCGCCTGTTGTTTCTTTTTTCTTTCTTTCTTTTTTTTTTTTTTTTTTTTTGAGACAGAGTCTCACTCTGTCGCCCAGGCTGGAGCGCAGTTCAGTTCACTGTAACCTCTGCCTCCCAGGTTCAGGCGATTCTCATGCATCAGCCTTCTGAGTAGCTGAGATTACAGACATGCGCCATCACGCCTGGCTAATTTTTGTATGTATGTATGTATGTATTTATTTATTTATTTATTTGAAACAGAGTTTCACTCTTGTCACCCAGGCTGGAGTGTAGTGGCTGGATCTTGGCTCACTGCAACCTCCGCCTCCTGGGTTCAAGCAATTCTCCTGCCTCAGCCTCACAAGTAGCTGAGATTACAGGTGCCCGCCACCATACCCAGCTACTTTTTGTATTTTTAGTAGAGACAGGATTTCACCATGCTGGCTAGGCTGGTCTCAAACTCCTGACCTCAGGTGATCCGCCTGCCTTGGCCTCCCAAAGTGCTGGGATTGCAGTGGTGAGTCACCCGGCCCGGCCTGCCTGCCTCGTTCCTGAGGAGCCTAGCACATGTGGGCCTGCGCACATCTTTGCTGAAGGAGTACTTCTCCGCGGAGAGGGTCAGATTCCATGTTTACTGCTCCGGGCGGCACCAGCATTCTGTAATTCCCACCACCCATGGGAGATGCCCTGGGAACTTCGGCCTCCCTCTGAATAGAGAATACTACCTACCAGTTGCCTCTGTGACCTGTAACTAATCCTATCTCATCAGCGTTAAACCCACAGTTCATTTGTTTTTGTTTGTTTTGAAAAAGAAAGTTGAGTTTCCTGAAAAATGAACTCACTTTGATTTTGACGCATGAAGTCAAAGTTCAACATTTCTGTAGTGTCTTTCTGCTTAGGAGGCACTGATGGACTTCAAGTAGATGGAATGTCACAGGCATTTCCAGAGGGCTGGGTGTTTATGACCAGTCATGATGATTGCATGCTTGTTCAGGTACCGGTTGCTCCTGGCTATAGAGACAGAGTGTGTGGAAAGAGGAATGGAGATTTGATCAGGAGAAGTTTAAATAGAAACACTCCTTTTTTACTTGGAGTCAGGGATTGGGGAAATGGAGTGCATTAACTTCAGGAGAGTGAAGAGAAAGTCAACCACGCCCATTGGCTGGTCAACTGCACCCCTCATGTACAGAGACCTGGGGGGCGAGGCTCCTGCCTGCCAGCTGTCATCCCACTGCAGAGATGGGGTCCGTGGCACCACCCTCAGCCTGTCACCAGCGCAACCTGGAACAACAGCACACATCCAAGATGCAAAGGAAGGCTTCCTTCGGGGGCTTTTTCTGGCCATGGAGAAACTCAGAGGCTGCCTGGAGAAGGTCACAGCTGTAACATTGACTTCGTTTGCAATCTTTCCACCCAGCAGGATAAAAATACCTTTTAAAAAAAGAAAGCTTAGAAGAGGGCATTCTCAGAAACCAACCTTCTTAACAACTCACACTTCTCTATTGCTGGGCCAGTTTGTTTTCAGCCATTGTTATGTGCAAGTCTTGATAGAAAAAGCCAGCCAGGGCTCTGCAGAATCAGAAAAAAAATGAGAAGAGAGTCTGGGGCTCCACAGGCAGGAGCTTGCAGGCAGCAAGGGCCCCAGGCACACGGCATCTGCTCCTGGCCGACCCGATTAGTCACCGAGAGGAGTTTTCCTCTACCTGGCAGAGGCAGAGGAGTGAGTTAAGAAAAGGAGATGTGTGTCTCCTTTGAGTGGCTGTAACTTTCTGTTTGCATCCCAGATTCTGTGATGAGGGGTGGGGGCTCAGTAGGAGAACCCCAGAAAGCACCACTGGATAGAGAGAGACAGCCTCTGGGGAGAGGCTGCCCGGGCATGAGTTGTCTGAGGGATGCTCTGGGTTTTCTTGCACTGAGGCCACTTCAGCCTATTGATATAAAATTTTTTCATTAAAAAAATTAAAAAGAACTAGGGGATATTTCAGGAAACAAGACCTCTGTAATGGCTCAGAACACACAGAAACAGTGTATCACTCTTCCAGGAGCTGCTCGTCATAGTCGCCAGGAATTCAGGACTGGATGCCTTCGGGGCTGAAGCCCCGAGGACTCCCGAGAACACACGTTGTCCCCCAAAGTCTACCTACCTGAACCCATTTTCTACCCTCTCTGCAGGATGCCTCAAGGGAGAAGGTAAACGAAGTCCAGAACAAATCATTTGGCCCCTGAGGCAGAAGCGTAACTGCTCACTGCTGTGGCTAAATGTTTATTTCCTCTCCCCAAAGTATTGCTTCTGAGCTGGACCTAGTTTCCCTTCCGTAGACCCTCTGGGCCTGGGTAGAGAGGCCAGGGAAAGATTGGGTGATGCAATTGGAGCTTCTGTTCAAGTGAGAGGAAAGTGGCAGTACTGAAAATAGAAGAGGTTCTTGCAGAAAACTGTGGGGCCAGGCTGGGTGTGGTGGCTCACACCTGTAATCCCAGCTCTTTGGGAGGCCGAGGCGGGTGGATCATGTGAGGTCAGGAGTTCGAGACCGTCCTGGCCAACAGAGTGAAACCCCGTCTCTACTAAAAATATAAAAATGAGCCAGGCATGGTGGAACGCACCTGTAGTCTCAGCTACTCGGAGGCTGGGGCACGGGAATCGCTTGAACCCGGGGGGCAGAAGTTGCAGTGAGCCAAAATTGTGCCACTGAACACCAGCGTGGGCGACACAGCAAGACTCTGTCTCAAAAAAAAAAAAAAAAAATTGCGGAAGGCCAGCGGGAGGAAGAGCAAGGGGTGGGGCAGCTCTGTCAGCTTGGTGCCCTCCGGCCGCACAGGGAAAAGCTCTTCCTCCCTGCCATTTGGCCTTCAAGTTCGTCAGTTGTTAAATGTACAAAACATGTAATTGATATAGGCCAGAGGGAAGTACAGAGGCCTTCTTAAACAACACAACCATTGACCACCAAGTTCAGGTTTAATTTAGCTGAATATTTAAATACGTTGACATCTCATCATGTAATAAAATAATAATATCCGTCGGCCTGGTAAAATGGTTACCTGTGGCGGGTGAGGGCATGTGTGGTTATTTTAAAAGCCTATCAAGCCTAGTTGAGGGCCCAAGGAAGGGGGAGGCAGGGGGAGGCCAAGGCCAGACAGTAGCATAGATGGTGAGCGGAATGAGGTTATGGAGATTGCTCTTGTCAGAAACTCATATCCTTCTGAGTAGTGTTTACATCTTTGAGCCTGGGGTGGGTGGCGGAGGGCCCAAACAGTGGGGTACAGCCCAAGACATCTACCCCCACCCTTACACACACACACACCCTGGCTACATGGAGCTGATTTATCCCTTGTTGCTGTAGATATTTTTGGCAACCATCAATCCCTTTAAAATTTTTATTTTCCACTTTGCAGAGAAAACGCAGCAGACGCACAACCCTAGTGACTGACATTCCCTGGTGTTCTTGTCTAATCTTTGCTCATATTTATAACCATAGTCATCCATGTGAAGCTACTATTTTGTGTCCTGATTTTTCACTTACTATGTGTTTGTCTTCACATGTGTAGATAGTTAAGTTGCAGTCACCGAAAACCCCAAGTAGGCAGGAGACACCATGTGCCGTTTCTATTAGCCAGTCCCTAGCCATCCTCCTAACTGTTGGATCTGGAGGATTAGCCTCAGATCATTGCAGTTATAAATAGTCCATCCCTATTTATAGATTTAAATATATAAATAGTCCATCTATTTATATATTTATAAATAGATGATCCCTAGAAGTGTCCAGTGTCATCTCAGCTAGGCAGAAACATATTTCAACTCCCAAACTGTTTCAAGAGTGTGAAAAGCTCAGGCCCAGAAGAAACAGAGTGAGCAGTTGAACGGTCTTACAACTGCTGCTTACAACTTTATAACAGGCCATAGGTTTAAAGTCCAAAAGGGCTCAAATTTCTACCCCATGTTTGACGACTCAGACCTCAATTCAGAGCTGAGCTGACTTCCCTGCGCCCAGGCCACGGGGGTGAAGTGAAGGCACAGCAGCCCCAGCTGGGCCCTCCCGATGGAGGCGCAGGGGGACGGCGACACCAGCCACTCCAGCGTCGGTAACCTGCACGCTCTTCTCCCTGGGTCTCCTGGAGGCAAGGCGACCTTGCTTGCCCGCTATTGCAGAATAACAAGGGGCTTAGCCACAGGAGTTGCTGGCAAGTGGCAAGAAGAGTAAATGGTGAGCAGCAGTGCCGTTTAAGGACCAGTCGGGCTTGCAAATGCATAATGGGAACGCAGAAAGGCCATGTGCAGATAGACTGGACACAGCTGGAGGCAGCTCAAAGCTGCCCCAACCTTCCTAGGGGTTAAAAGACAAGTGACAGAGTCCATAGCTAAGGAGCTGGGGTGCCTCACAAAGGGAGGCCTTTTCACCTCTGTCCTTTGCTTTTATCCTTTTAAAATCGTGTCTGTAGTTGATACAAAATGTAACTCTGGGTGTGCAGCTTAAATGCTGGCGAGGACTGTCCTGCCTACTGAAAGGCAGAAACGCCTTTGCTTGTCATTGTTTCCCCAACATGGCATCCAAGACAAAGGGGGTGCTCTGTGACACTTCGGAGCTTCCCTCACGTTCTTCTGAGCTGCTGGCAAACCATAAGGTGAGATTCCAGTAGCTCAAAGGGAAGCGAGTGCTTTACTCTCCAGTCCAGCCTGTGTAAAACTTGGTGATTTGCTATCTATTTTTGTTGGTTTTGTTGTTTCCTTTTGAAATTACTTGATTGTAATTTGATGCCCTGTATAGGTTGAGTAATTTAGTTGATTTTATGGACTGCCATGTAGCAAATAGGATGTCTCACATTTAACAGATGCATTTGTAATCGTGTTAGCTAACGTAGTTTAAGATGTATGATGAGTTAATACCAAAGACGAGTAAAATGTCTAACTTTATTCTCCTTCCTCTGTGTTTCTTTCCAACAGAGTCAATCCTGACGTGTCAATCCCGACGATAGAAAGCTCGGAGGTGATCCACAAATCCAAGCACCCAGAGTTCAGTTGGGATCCTTGGCAGATGGACATCAGTGCCATTTACTAACCAGCAGGATGGAGACCACGCCCTTAAATTCTCAGAAGCAGCTCTCAGCGTGTAAGGATGGAGAAGACTGTCAGGAAAATGGAGTTCTACAGAAGGTTGTTCCCACCCCAGGGGACAAAGTGGAGTCCGGGCAAATATCCAATGGATACTCAGCAGTTCCAAGTCCTGGTGCGGGAGACGATACACGGCACTCTATCCCGGCGGCCACCACCACCCTAGTGGCTGAGCTTCATCAAGGGGAACGGGAGACCTGGGGCAAGAAGGTGGATTTCCTCCTCTCAGTCATTGGCTATGCTGTGGACCTGGGCAATGTCTGGCGCTTCCCCTACATATGTTACCAGAATGGAGGAGGTCAGTATCACAGGCTGCGAGGAGAGGCTGTGACCTGGGGTGGGCTGTGAGCCGAGGTGGGCTGAGACCCAGGTGGGCTGTGACCCGGGTGGGCTGCAACCTGGGGTGGGCTGTAGGTCCTCTTGAGAGGCCAGAACACAGATCACATCTTTTCAGTCTTCACTGGTGTAAGTCTGGGAACATGATGGCTTAGACTTCGAGCTGGTCGAAAAGTCAAATCTCGCCAGGCATGGTGTCTCATGCCTGTAATCCCAGAACTTTGGGAGGCTCAGGCAGGTGGATCACCTGAGGTCAGGAGTTCAAGACCAGCCTTGCCAACATGGCAAAACCCCATCTTCACTAAAAGTATAAAAATTAGCTGGGTATGGTGGTGGGCCCCTGTAGTCCCAGCTACTTGGGAGGCTGAGGCAGGAGAATCACGTGAACCTGGGAGGTGGAGGTTGCAGTGAGCCAAGATGATGCCACTGCACTCCAGCCTGGGTGACAGAGCTAGACTCTGTCTCAAAAAAAAAGAAAAGAAAAGAAAAGTCAAATCTCCAGCAAGCCAAAAGCTGAAGGGGGTGTGTCTGAGGCTCTCCGGGTTGAAGCTGGGTGAAGCCCTCGCAAGCCTGACCTCACAGATCTCCAGCATCATTAGCACTCCATTTACTGAAGGGCCGCCTTCTCATCCTGCATTTTCTAGGCTCTGTCCTCCCTCAGCTAGCAGTGAGGGAATGGCCATCAGCCCTGTGCTGAGTCCCTTCATTCCTGCTGGCAAGTTCTGCTGGGAAGAGTCCAGAAGGGTAGGCCTGCGTAAGGGAAAATTTGGAGGTTGCTTCAGCGTCCCAGATGCTTCTGATCCTTTGGACCTGTGTGAGGTCAGAGAAGGGCATCAACGTAGGTCCAGAGTCTTAATTACCAGTCTGGGCAGAATTTAAGCTGGATTAGATTCACAGCATGACATTAATGCCAACCTCAAAATACGAATGACTGGCCCTCCTATCTCCTCCTGGGATGTTAGATTTTTGAGGCCAGAGGCCCTATCTTGTTCCTTGTACCCCTAAAGCCTATCAAGTAGGTAACTTATAGATTATCAAAAATAGTAGCTGACTGTAGGCCTGAAGATGGGAACCTGGGGGAGAGCGGAGCAGTGGGGGAAAGTGAGTGGGTTTGGAGCCTCTGGACTTGTTATCAGCACAGGAAAATAACAAGAAGTGGGTGTCAAATGAATCAAGCTTGATTTTGATGGAAGCTCTGACAACAGATTTGGGAGGGCAGTTAAAAAGAGGTTTGGGAATCATCCATTTGTGTCACTCTCACTTCTCCTGTGACCTAACACAGAATGGCCTGGATTTACTGACTCTTTTAAGGATTTCTGTCCATGCAGCTACAAAGGTAGTTCCAGGGGGCCCCTGGGAAGTTCAGAGCTTCCTGCCTAGGAGGAGCAAAAGTCATAATCACCTTATCTCCTGCTCCAGAGGACTCACCTTTAGCCTGAGCATTATGTAAGGGGCTGGGTCACTGGTGACGTTTCCCTTACACTCATTCCCCAGCGTAAAGCTGATCAAGCAGGCTCTTTGGAGGAAGGCCGTCACGAGAACACATGGTTTTATTCTCGAGCCAGCCTTACCCAGTGTGACTGTAAATTACGTGGACCTTTATGACTTGCATGGGCCTCAGGTTTCTGGGTTCAGAGCATTTTACAGCAAGTAAAATTATCAGGGAAAAATCACAGCTGACCCCCACTTTAGGCTAAAAACTCAGGCTGCAAGTGAACATTCCCCAACTTGATATTTTTAAATTCAGCCTCAGCCACAAGATCCAGGAGACACCAGCATCTCCAGTTAGGTAGCAGCTCTGTGCTTTCCTGTTCTGTGAAAACTACCCTGTCCAGCCCCTCCTGCAAACGGCGCTTGTCAGGGAGCGTTCCGGCTCAGTGGAATTATGGAAGTGTAGCCAAATATCAATAACCGTGTGTCTGGAGCCATAGACAATACTGATGAACAAAGATACTGATTCGGTGACTCACAGGTGTTGCAGCTGTTGCTACAGATTGTCACAGGTGATCTGTTCCAAGGATCCCAGGTACTGGTTGCATCAGAATTACCTTAGGGAACTTGAACACAAGTTCTGTGTTGTACCCATGCGTGGAGATTCTGCTTCAGGAGGTCTGGGGTAGACCCAGGAATCTAGGTGACTATGATACGTGGCTACATTTGGGAAACTCAGCTCTCCTCAACTATGTTCTTTTATAGGGAGGAAACTGGGGCTCAGAGAGGGGAAGTGGCCCAGGGTTCTCCAGGCAGTCAGAAGGGGACGTGGTCCTGCCCGTTCTGTTGACTCCCAAACCCGGCTTTCTTCCCAATTGGTCTCTTGGCCTCCTCTGAAACCTCATTTTAGTCATGGCGCTCCCCCTACGACTGCTTCTGGCAATGCAGTAAGACCAGAGGAGCATACCGTGAGGCCACTCAGCCCAGGGTGGCTCCGTGACACTCACATCATCTGGCGACTGTGATTCTCAGAGTCACAGATTGGTTGGGCTATCCTGGGACAGATGTGGGCAGGAAGTGAAGTTGTCTTTCATCTGCCTCAGGGGCATTCCTACTCCCCTACACCATCATGGCCATTTTTGGGGGAATCCCGCTCTTTTACATGGAGCTCGCGCTGGGACAGTACCACCGAAATGGATGCATTTCAATATGGAGGAAAATCTGCCCGATTTTCAAAGGTAACTGAAGGGCTTGGTGGGGTGGGTTAGTGGAGCCTCTCAGGAAGGGATTTCCATCAGTGGGTGGGAGCTGGGGACCTTCTCCTGGAATCAGTCAGGCCTTAGGAGATGGCTTGAGTAATTAAGGCTTTGACTGTGTAAGTGGTGTGAAATGGTTAAAGAGAGACAGAATAAATGGCAATGAGAAGTAAACGAATGTAAACATTTTAAAGCATTAGCAAGACATGTACACATTTTCTAAAACATGTTACCTTGCAAATACATACGAGTGACTCACGGCAGGGCCACTTTTCCCGTGGTGGCCTGGAGTCCTTGAAATGGAACGGAGGGCGGCACCCACCTGTACCCCTCTGCTGGGCTGCGGGGCTTTCCGATGCCGCGTTTCAGCCTTTTGTCATTGGGCCACCCTTAAACTCGGCCTCTGTCTCCCCGTCTCACCCACTGCCCAGGGATTGGTTATGCCATCTGCATCATTGCCTTTTACATTGCCTCCTACTACAACACCATCATGGCCTGGGCGCTATACTACCTCATCTCCTCCTTCACGGACCAGCTGCCCTGGACCAGCTGCAAGAACTCCTGGAACACTGGCAACTGCACCAATTACTTCTCTGAGGACAACATCACCTGGACCCTCCATTCCACCTCCCCAGCTGAAGAATTTTACACGTAAGTGCATGTAAGTGAGGGGTGGGCCTGATAGGGGCAGGCCACACCCCTGGGATTTGTCTTCTTAGGAAGGCCAGGGCCAAGGGCTCCCCACCTCTCTCCTGGCAGATTTCTGAGAGATGAAGCTATCAGGGGTGGGAGTAGCAGAATTCTGAGCTGGGAAACTCTACCTCAAGTGCTCCACGGCCTGGCGCTGCTGTGCCTCCCTGCACTTTCTCATGTGCCAAGCCAGGTTGCTCCAACGCGCCCAAGCCCGTCCCTCCCTTCACATTCCAAAATTACTCCCCTTCTTCTGGGTCCTCCTCTCAGCCGAATGTCATGGAGGCAAAGCATCCTAGTACTTTGAAAGCTCAAAACTATTCAAATGGTTTAATGTGTTAACTTCGTAAGTGGCATCTACCCTTTGGAAGAAGAAGCTTGGGGGAAGGTAGTATTCTTTAATGCTGGAATTTCAGGCAACGGCAGCCCAAAGAGAGAGCTACTTTGGGGTAGGGAAGAGAGCCGACTCCCCACACTTACACATCCCTCATGTTCCCAAAAGCCAGTCACATTGGCAAAGGAGTTCAGGTCCCAGCCAGCAAAGGAGAATCCAGGAAGTCTGCCTTTAGGTTGAACACTCTTCCCGGGGTGTTAGCCAAATGGGCTTTGTGGTCCTTCAGGACAGGCAGGGCCAATCCCAGCTCTTCCTGGGCCTCAGTGACCACTTGGTCCTAGCAGCACAGTGTCCATTTGTCCTGGGCACCCTCAAAGGAGCAGCACAGATATGTGCCCAGGTCACTCTCCAGAGCCTCTCAGGGGCCTTTCTTTCTCCTTCACCCCAGGCGCCACGTCCTGCAGATCCACCGGTCTAAGGGGCTCCAGGACCTGGGGGGCATCAGCTGGCAGCTGGCCCTTTGCATCATGCTGATCTTCACTGTTATCTACTTCAGCATCTGGAAAGGCGTCAAGACCTCTGGCAAGGTGAGGAGGGCTCTGACTGCTGACCCGGCCTGCCCAGGGGCCCACAGGCTCTCAAACTCAAAACCCAGTAGCCTGGACAGACAGCACTGTTTCCTTCCACACCAAACACATTCTGTGATGCACCCTCTCTCTTTTCACCACATTTGTTAGAAAATTCTAGAAGTGGGTTGGGCATGGTGGCTTACGCCTCTAATCCCAGCACTTTGGGAAGCTGAGATGGGTGGATCATTTGAGGCCAGGAGTTCAAGACCAGCCTGGCCAACATGTCAAAACCTCATCTCCACCAAAGGAAAAAAAAAAATAGCTAGGCGTGGTGGCAGGCACCTGTAATCCCAGTTACTCGGGAGGCTGAGGCAAGAGAATCACTTGAACCTGGGAGATGGAGGTTTCTGTGAGCCAAGATCATGCCATTACACTCCTGGGCAACAGAGCGAGATTCTGTCTCACAAAAAAAAAAAAGGAAAAGAAAAAACAATATTTTCTAGAAATGGGCCAATGCCAAGAACCATTACATGATTTTTTTTTTTTTCTCAAAATTCCTTTAACCAACCGGTAGTACCACAATTAATAATTGTGGCAATAATTTACTGGAAACCCATCGTGGACCATGTTCAGTGCTTTTTATACACTGGCCAGTGCTATTGTTTCCTGCTAGATACTCCCTCAACCTTACAGATGCGTAGTGGGCTCAGAGGTAGTTCTACTGGCCAACCTGAATCTGATCCTGTCTGTGTGATTCCAAGGGCTGTGATCTTTCTGCCACACCACTTTGCCCTCCTTTCCCAAGGTCTTCAAGAATAAAAGACACGGCTGGGCGTGGTGGCTCAAGCCTGTAATCCCAGCACTTTGGGAGGCCGAGACGGGCGGATCACGAGGTCAGGAGATCGAGACCATCCTGGCTAACACGGTGAAACCCCGTCTCTACTAAAAAATACAAAAAAAAAAAAAACAAACTAGCCGGGCGAGGTGGCGGGCGCCTGTAGTCCCAGCTACTCGGGAGGCTGAGGCAGGAAAATGGCGTAAACCCGGGAGGCGGAGCTTGCAGTGAGCCAAGATCCGGCCACTGCACTCCAGCCTGGGCGACAGAGCGAGACTCCGTCTCAAAAAAAAAAAAAAAAATTAGCCAGGCATGGTGGCAGGCGCCTGTAATCCCAGCTACTTGGGAGGCTGAGGCAGGAGAATCACTTGAACCTGGGAGGCGGAGGTTGCAGTGAACTGAGATCGCACGATCTGGCCACTGCACTCCAGCCTGGGCGACAGAGCGAGACTCCGTCTCAAAAAAAAAAAAAAAAAGAATAAGAGACACTGACGTCCATCCACCCACCTCCCTCCCCTCCCCTCCCCTGCTCCCCTCCGCTGTTTCCCTCCCCTCCCCTCCCCTCCCCTCCCTGGAACAGCATGGTGATAACCCATGCTTTCGCCCTTCTTCCTTACAGGTGGTGTGGGTGACAGCCACCTTCCCTTATATCATCCTTTCTGTCCTGCTGGTGAGGGGTGCCACCCTCCCTGGAGCCTGGAGGGGTGTTCTCTTCTACTTGAAACCCAACTGGCAGAAACTCCTAGAGACAGGGGTAAGATAATGAGGGAAATATCTGTACCTGTCTCATTTTACTAAATGAAGCTGGTCCTCCTCCACATAGGACAGTAGGGACAACTGAAATGTGGCTTTACTGTGCAAGTCTGCCATGATACTTTAACCAAGAAATACAAGCAGTAAAGTACAGTTGAGGCCACTGGATGGGTTTATGCCTAGATGATAGGAAGAGAAATCACATTTGTTGGCACTTGATTTATGGCTATGCCTGGAATGAGCCTTAAAAGCTGGTTTTCTGCCTCTGCACTTAGCCACATGGAGGCAGGAGAGACGACCCTGTTGGTGCCAGGGTCAGCCTGTGTCTCCCCCTCACCCCAGGCCCTTACCCCTGCTGTGTTCCAGGTGTGGATAGATGCAGCTGCTCAGATCTTCTTCTCTCTTGGTCCGGGCTTTGGGGTCCTGCTGGCTTTTGCTAGCTACAACAAATTCAACAACAACTGCTACCAGTGAGTATCTGGGGTCCCCAAAGAAAGCTTGAAAGTGGCGTGAGTGAAAGTCAGCCAGTGTGGAGGAAGGTGATTGGACCGACAGCCTCGAATCTGGCCAGGTTTAGGCCTTGATGCCACTGCCCCTCAAGGGTACTGCAGGCCCCTGACCACCTCACCCATGGCCAGAGCACTCACTGAGGCCGGGGCTTCACCCGGACCGCTCAGAGGCTGAGAGGGGCCCCAGGCCCTTCGGTTTTGTCAGTGCTCCTCTATATAAAAATAATAAGAGGCTGGGCATGGTGGCTCACACCTGTAATCCCAGCACTTTGGGAGGCCAAGGCAGGCGGATCACCTGAGGTTGGGAGTTCCAGGCTAACCTGGCCAACATGGCGAAACCCTGTCTGTACTAAAAATACAAAGATTAGCCAGGCATGGTGGTGCATACCTGTAATCCCAGCCACTTGGGAGGCTAAGGCACAAGAGGTTACAGTGAGCCGAGATCATGCCATTGCACTCCAACCTGAGTGACAGAGCAAGATTCCAGAAAGAAAGAGAGAGAGAGAGAGAGAGAGAGAAAGAAAGATTGCAAAGTAAGTTTACAAAAAGCTGCAACATACAATTACATAGTTAGGTTTAACTAGTCAATGTGTTTAACAACAAAAATTATAACGTGATTATTTGTATTACGTATAAACAAAAAGTGTGATGATCACGTTATTTTGACTAACACAAAATGCCATAATTTTTCTTTTCTTTTCTTTTTTTTGAGACAGAGTTTCTTGTTGCCCAGGCCGGAGTGCAATGGTGTGATCTCGGCTCACCGCAACCTCTGCCTCCTGGGTTCAAGTGATTCTCCTGCTTCAGCCTCCCAAGTAGCTGGGATTACAGGCATGCACCACCATGCCTGGCTAATTTTGTATTTTTTTTTTTTTTAATTCTTTTTTTTGAGACGGAGTCTCGCTCTGTCACCCAGGCTGGAGTGCAGTGGCCGAATCTCGGCTCACAGCAAGCTCCGCCTCCCGGGTTCACGCCATTCTCCTGCCTTAGCCTCCCGAGTAGCTGGGACTACAGGCGCCTGCCACCTCGCCCGGCTAGTTTTTTGTA